TGAGCATGTGAATGGCCCAAAAATGGCCCAGCCAGCACAGAGGGGGGTATTTTCCCCCCTGGCTAGTAGCATGTGGGAAGAACTGCAAAGCTCTGGTTATCTGCCTGTCCGTAGCCAGCCCCTGGAGCTGACTGGGCCAACAGCCCTGCACAGGGGAGAGGAGACTCACACTGGCTTTGATGCAGCAACCAAAGCAGCAGGCTCGTTCTGTACCCTCACTGTGACACGGGTGTTGGGGGTGGTTGGACCCTCAGTGAAAGTCCTGTAGCGAGGATACATCTGAATGGGGGCCCAAAAGAGGTTGGGGTGCATGATCAGCTACCTGCAGAGATACTGATGGGGGATGGACTGAAAAACTGGCCAGACAGCACCCTGGTCCTTGCCTGTGGCTGAGGTCAGGGAGGGCCACTTGGCCTGGCACCAGAAATCCGCCCAGCAGGGGTGTGTGGAACCGCCAGTGGCGGGGAGTGAGTTGCCAGGGACAAGGCTTAACAGGATTGAGACCAAGGCCTTGTACCAAGGTGGTAAAACTAAGGCACAGCAATGAGGGCTGGTCCCTGAACCCAGCAGCTGAATTCTAGAACTGACCGCAGCAGAATCCCTCCTTGAAAAAGTGCGGGCCTTGTGGGCCATGGTGTTGCAAGATCCTAGGGAAGGCTCCAGGTGAGAAAAGTGACCCAGTACTAAAAAAGGGCTCCCTGAGGGAAAAGTAAATGTGGGTGATCAGAGCGTGTCTGGTGGTCTCCCAGAAATACCACCGGTGGGATGTCCCTTCTTCTAAACATCAGGGGATGCAGCGCACCCGGCGAGAACTGGTACAGAACATTTACTGCCCCGGAAATTCACAGGGGTCCACCCTTTTGAGTTGGTGTATGGAAGGAGAAGGAGGGGACCCCTGGACTTGATGAGAAATAAACAGGGAAACAGTGGTGGATTCTGAACTATCGTTCTGGGGAAAGCTCACTGAGCTCATGGGTTTGGTCAGGAAGAACCTAGCTGGGGCCCAGGAACTGCAAAAGGGCTGGTACAACAATGTGCCTGATCGGGGACCGGAAGTGGGGGGGGGGGTCTCAGCTCAGTGCACATGGTGCTTGGGAAGAGCCCTGTGAAACCAACAACCAGCTGAGTCATGTACTGGAGCGGCCCAATTGGGCAATTGTACCATGTAGACATGAAGAAGCTGTACTTTGACAGGGAGACTGTTGGTGCAGCCGTGTAGGTGGGAGGGTGGGGAAAGTGAATCTCTCTCTCCCAAGCCAGGAGCCGACCTCCTGCTGGAATAACTTCCCCTCTCTGAACAGCTAACCCCTGCCCACCTGCAGAGATCAGGGGAGCTCACTAATTTAGCTGTCCGGGGGGGGGATGGGAGGTGTTCCCCATTCACAATCTCTGGGAAAACAGTGACATTAGCGGTGATCCAGTCATCCTCCAGCCCCTGGGACTCATCCGTGGTGCTGGTCCCCAAGTAAGATGGGTCGATCAGAGCCAGTGTGCACTTTTGGAAGCTCAATGCTGTCACCATGTTCAATGCCTGCCCCATGCCTAGAATTAAAAAAATCTTAGACAAGGTATGTGTGGCATGGGCTTTTCCTCACTACTGCAAATCTCACCAGTGGCGACTGGCAGGTGCCTTTGGACCCAGTTGCCAGGTTGAAATCTGCTCCCATCAGCCTTATAGGGCTCTGAGTTCCTTGTCCTACCTTTCAGCCTCAAGGGGGTGCCTGCCACTTCCCAGTGCCTGGGGGATCAGTTACACAGCGGGGAGGAAGACTGTGCCTGGTGTACTTTCATGATATCTATGTCTTCAGCCCAGCCTGGGAGAAACAAGTGTCCCAGTGAAGAGGGGCCTGGGATGCCTCCTGGATGTAGGCTGGATGGTAGAGGCCGGAAAGGGTAAGATGAGGGTGGCAGATGTGTTGTACCTGGGCCACAAGGTGGGAAGCAGCTGCCCAAAGCCAGAGGCAGCCAAGGTGAAGATAACCAGAGATTGGCCTGTTCCTCAATTCAAGAAACAGGCCCGGGTCGCTAATGGGATGGCAGGGTACTGCTGAAGGTTTGTACCCCACTTTAGCTCCCATTACGAAGCTTGGTAATTTGGGCAAGCCAGACAAGGGTGGTCTGGACCTAACAGTGCTGGGGCACTGTGTGCGCTGAAGGAGGCTCGAATCCAGGGGCTGGTGCTGATAAACCCAGATCTGGACAAATCCTTCAGGGTGTTCTCTACAGGCCTCAGACAGAAGGCTGGGTGCAGTGCTGATACAGGCCACTACGAAGCGGGAGAAAGCCCCCATTGTGGACCTGAGCAAGAAGCTGCTCCTCCTCCCTAGAGAAGAATCATAGAATCATAGAATATCAGGGTTGGAAGGGACCCCAGAAGGTCATCTAGTCCAACCCCCTGCTCGAAGCAGGACCAATTCCCAGTTAAATCATCCCAGCCAGGGCTTTGTCAAGCCTGACCTTAAAAACCTCTAAGGAAGGAGATTCTACCACCTCCCTAGGTAACGCATTCCAGTGTTTCACCACCCTCTTAGTGAAAAAGTTTTTCCTAATATCCAATCTAAACCTCCCCCACTACAACTTGAGACCATTACTCCTCGTTCTGTCATCTGCTACCATTGAGAACAGTCTAGAGCCATCCTCTTTGGAACCCCCTTTCAGGTAGTTGAAAGCAGCTATCAAATCCCCCCTCATTCTTCTCTTCCGCAGGCTAAACAATCCCAGCTCCCTCAGCCTCTCCTCATAACTCATGTGTTCCAGACCCCTAATCATTTTTGTTGCCCTGGGAAATGCCTGGCCCTGGGATGGGCTCTTAAAAAGCTGCAGCTCCATCTATTTGGGTGGTGCTTTATGGTGTACACTGACCACCCACCCTGCCATGGTCAACGGATAAAGGGCTAATGCCAAACTCCTAAGGTGGACTCTGATCCACCAGGATGATCCACCAGGATCCACCAGGATGATCATATGGGGTGGAGCATGAATGTTATAGCTGATGCTTTGTCCTGGAGAGGGGGGCCTGAACTTCCACAGCTCACTGGCTGGAGTGACCCAACTCACTTCAGACTCGAAGTGCAGGAGAGATGTGACAAAGTTGGGGATTTTGGTAGTGTTTTACATGAATTGTGTGTGTGTGTGTGTGTGTGTGTGTGTCAGTTTCCCTGTGTGCTGTGTGTTTAGCACATTGTTGAGAGAGGGTTTGTTGTTGTAGAGGACCAGGTGTGACCTCGCCTAGCATCTGGGAACTCTGGACAATGGCCTGGAGATGGGGTTCCCTAACAAGTGGTGACTAAGAGTCCCACCCCAGCTTGGCAGTCAGCCAGTTCTGGCCTGTGGGAGGACAAAGGGCTGAAAGGAGAGGATCCCGGCCACCTGACCAACCAGTTCCAGCCAGAGGGAAACAATGGATGGATGAGAGAGGGCACCTCTTACCTTTTTACCTGGGATGTAAGACAAATCACAAGGGAGGAGCTATTGGGGTTGTTGATAGGTGTTATAGAATGCCTCCGTTGGAAAGAGGGGGTTTCTCTACTGGAGAGACAGTAGGCAGAGCCCACTTGGATGCAGGACAGACCTAGATGTACTGTGCCTCAGCACAGGATACTGGGCCTGAGGACACGGAGAGTCCCGTGCTGGGTTCATATGCTCAATAAACCTTTCTGTTTTATGCTGCCCGAGAGTCACTGCAGTATAGCGATCTGGACTGCATTATTCCCTCTGGAGGGGTGTACTCCCGGGGGGGGGGGGGGGTCCAGACCGAGTGGACTACCTGAGGGACAGGCGTGCTGAGTTCCAGAAAGGTGGAGTTCCAGGAGATGGAGCTGTCTATGGCTTAACCCCCCGTGAAAGAGTAGACCACGCTAGAACAGATGTCGCAGTGAAGGGGGTTCCTCCGGGAGAATGTACAGAGCCAGGAGAGAGCACGAGTACTGTGAGCCCATGAAAACGTCAAAGTCAGTTGTTTTTTTTCAAGGGGAACCTTCCTGGCAAACCCACACATCTCAGACCTTTGTACTATGCAAAAACAGAAAAATATTCTTGAATGCAAATTGTTTTTTACCCAAGCCAAACAGAACTCATTGCCATATTTCCAATCTCCAAACAGGAACCAGATCAGGAGCCAGGCCCCCAGAAGGCATGAGATTGGCTTAAACATAATGAGATTTATATATTTTCATTTTCCTTCCCTCTCGTGCCTGAGATTTCATAGTGCACCTTTTTTTCCTCAATTTCAAGCTTTTCTCAGCTATTTAAAAAACAACCCAAAAGCTGAGTTTCTCCTGGAGATGTGACTTTAAGAAAAACACCAAATGTCACAGGACTTGCAGTGAAATCACCAGAGTTGGCTGCTTTGAAACAGCCAGTTCTCCCCTAGATGCAGGGCAGATTTTGATTGAGCTCAATTTTTAATTGCAGAGTATCCCTTAAAAAGTACTACTTCACAGTGGATAGAGCACTGGACTAAAAGTCAGGAAACTAGGATCTATTCATAGCTCTGCGACTGGCCTGCTGCTTCACATTACCTCGCTGTGCCTCAGTTTTCTGATCTCCTTTGTAAAGTGCTTTGAGATCTAATTATTAAAAGAGGTAGGTGTTGGTGTTATTTGTACTGTAATTATATAGCACTTTAAATTCAATAGCAGTTAGGAACGTGTCTTTGAGGATCTGGGTTTTGGTCCTTGTGCTGTGGCCCCCTCCTCTTTCCTCCAAACATATGAGCCAACCCTCTTCCAGGAAATCCTACCAAAGCAACCTCACCAGCACTGTTGGATCATCAAAGTTTAGGGTTAGCTAGCTGATCTGAAGGAGATTTCTATCACATTCAAAGAAATACATTTCTGAGCCTTCTCATTAGGAATAGAAGTGAGAGTAGCCAGCCATGTCCATCCTCCTATCTTGCTCCTCCGTTACTCCTGCATTCCTATGGGCGTGGCTTTCACTAACCTTCCATTGCCATTACTATAATTAGAGTGATATGGAGGCAAGGACAGCAGCAATGATTCAACTGGCTAGTCCTTGACAGAGACTGTGTTAATATAAGAGCAAGCCTAGTTGAGCATGTGCCAGTCTAAAGGAATTTCACTAACGAGGTGATTTGTCTGTTTTGTTCTCCCTTCCCTGAGGGCCATGTTAGCCAGGGGTGGGTTGCGTTTGCCAGCTTTAGCCAGTCCCAGCAGCCTGTGGATCCTCTCCCCTACCGAGGAAGGCCAGGCTCCTGCCTACCGCCGGGCTTACACAGCTGTTGGCGAGGTTTACCCTCCTTCCCTCCAACGGAAGGTGGTCCGACCCTTCAGAGAGCTTCCAGGCAACTGGAGAACAGGCTGGCTTAACCTCTTTCACTTCTGGCAGGAGGGTGGTTTCCACAACGTCCACAACATCATGATCCACAAGTTCCAGAAGTTTGGACCCATTTACAGGTAAGAAGCTGTGAGGCTCTGCAAATTCCTGCTAAAGGTAGCTCAGTGGCATAAAAGAAAATGTGGGGATCACGGTGTATATAGGTATAGTTTTGAGGTACCATGGTCTAGTGGGTAGGGCAATAGGGAAGGAGACTGGAAACTTGGGTTCTCAGTCACTTGTGGGACAATCTTATCTATCTGCCCCTCCATTTAGATCTGCTTTTACATCTGTCCCCCAGGTATCCAACTCTAGTAGTGTAAACTGAGGAACATAGTGTTAAGCTAGTGGATTAGGACTGGGCGTGAGGCGACCTGGTCTGGTACTGAGTTGCTGCATGACAGTGGGCAAGTCACTGGCCTCTTTGTGCCTCAGTTTGTCCACCTACCCTTTGTCTATTGATATGGTAACCAGCCCCCCCCCACCCCCCCTCAGCACAGAGGGACCCTGATTACAGCGACTGGAATACTTATAGTCTATCAGGTTCAGGTCTGAAAGACCATGCAAGTATCTGATCTGCACCAGTGTCAGCTGGTGGCTTAACTAGAAGTCCACCCTTTCTCTCCATGTGGGTTTGTACATCTAGGAGCTCAGATGATGTGGGGATGGGCAGAAATACAAAACTCCCGTGTGTGAACATGTAACATCACACAGTGAAATTTCACTCTGTTCATTGCAGCACATGCCCAACTCAGCCACCAGTTAATATAACAGGGCAAGAGGCAAATCTGCCAATCAAAACATTTGTGGATTGTAACTGCAGTGAGAAAGCCGCCTGGGTTGGAAGTGGCCATTTACATTGTTTGATATATTTTCATTGTTACTCTGATCACACTCTCTTAGCTGGCAGAATCTTTAGGACTGTTTATAAACTTCTCTCCAAACTGTACTTAGTACAAGGCTATGGGCCAGATCCTCAGCTAACAAAAGTCAGGGAAGTTCTACAGTTTGCAACGGGGCTGTTTCCATTTACACCAGCTGAGGTGGTGGCCTTATATCACCAGTATCTCTCTAGCTCAAGGGTTATTTTAGTTATGAGACAACCTCATGGGCCCAAATTCCCCCCTAGACTTAGGCTTATGGATTTCATCCACTATCTTGTATATCTGTTACACAGTTGGGGCTAGTTTAGTGTGCACGGGCCTGGTCCTGAAGCCGCATTCTTTAATTTTGCTCAGCTCCCTTTGGAGGTAATAGGTGTTTTCCCTTGGTAACTAGAGTCTGATCTCGGCTGGTGTTGATCTCCGGCAATTCCCACTGTTTTGGAGTTGCAGGTGTCAGCAGCTCCCAGGATCAGACCCTTAGGAAGGACATTTAGGAGATGGCCCTATGGAACAAGGCTGTGGGATGTGGCTGTGATGTAGTCTCGAAGACAGAATGTGGCAGAGTGTTCAAGGGGAGCTGCCCCTTGCACTTAGGCCCTGGGGAAAGCGACAGATAATTCTTGCATTATCCGTGTGAAGGGCTAGTGGCAGGTACCATGCCAGCCTTCCCAAAGAGGTTGTTTTGGGGTAAATGGAAGGTGCCACCATGGCTCTCTGCCAGTTAGAGGAGCTGAGCCAGCATGAAGGGGTAGAGGGGAAATAGATCCTTCTTGAAACAGGTGACATAGTTTCCACCTCAGTGCTACAGGGGGAATTCTGGCTGAGTTCTGAAGGCTGCACACCCCTTTTGTCCAACAGAGACTCAGTCTATGGCTCCAAAGCCACAATGCAGTGTCCTCAAATTCTTCAGTGTGTGCACTGGGCAGACAGGAAGAATGATCCTTTCCCATGCTGATCACCCCTTGATCACACTAAGTGTTACAGAGCCAGAGCAGCTGCACCACTAAACCCAACAGGTAGCCCAGGATGTCAAAGCACATTCACAGATTAAGCCTCACTGTCTCCCTAGGTGGTAGGTAACTTATTACCCCTCCTTTACAGGTGGGAAAACTGAGGCATAGGGAGGGTTAAGCCCAGCATTTTGATAAGTGCGTACTTTTCCCGAAGGTGTTAAAACTTGAGGTCAAGGCTTCATGCAAGGCAGCCAGGTAATTCATACTTTGGATTGGTGCAAGTGCCACTCAGATATGGTTCTGAGCAACTTATTGTATTCAGGCAGAAGAGGAAGGGTAGATCAGTGGTTAGGGTTCTAGTCTGGGATGCTGGAGACCTGTGTTCCTGCTCAAATACAGACTTCACATTTGATCACTTAGGTCCAGATTTGTAAAGGTACTTAGCTATTGCTGCACTCAACGTTACAGCAAGGAAATTTATTGAGGCGCCTAAATCTAATTTGAAAAGGGGATTTATGCCTTTAGGAGCCAAATTGCCATTGAAAGCCAATAGGATTTAGACTCCTAGGTGCCTAAATTATTTTTGAGAATGACTTAGGCTCCTCAGCCAGTTAGGTCTCACAAAGCTGAGCACACCGATGCCTAAGTATCTTTCAAAATCTGGCCATTAGTCTCTCTCTATACCTTAGTACACCACTTGTGAAATGGGAATAACATGTCCCTTGTCACAAAGTTGTTAGGACAAATACTTCAAAGAACATGGAGGACTCAGATTCCATGGTAATGAGGTCCGGCTGAGTTTTGGACAGAATTATTATCAGCAAGCTATTGGTAAAAGAAAGGCAGTTCAGAGATGAGCAGCAAAAGGTTTGCGTGAGGAAGATTAAATTGGCTAGCTATGTGCAGTTTAGCTTGGCAAACAGTGAGGAGGATTATCATGACAGGGTATGATATTAAGAAAGGAAATAAAATCAACTTACCAAAATTCCTGACTGTAAGTCTAACGAAAACTCTCCCAATGGGAACAGCTTGGGGCTACCCCTGTATTGGCCAGGAAATCACAGCTCATTCAGTCTAATTCATTTCCATGGCTAACTCCTGTGATGGTCCCTTTTGTCCAAGGACTGCAAGCAAAATCAACAATTCAACTAAACAAGCCTCAAGACACTCCTAGGACAGAAGGACATATTATAACAGAAATCAGTTCTCCTGGATGCCAATCCCATACATTAATCATTAAACAAATGCAGAAGTATTAAAAACAGAAGGGAAGAGACCTCTTGGGTCACTGAGTGCAGTCGGCAGTCGTAATCCCATTTAGATTGTGAAGCACTTGTTAAGGGCTCGTCAAAAACCCTTTGCAGCCAGACTGGCCAAGTGATTTTGGAGTATATGTCTTATTGGGAGTCAATGGGATTTTACCCTGCTGTCACTTGGGTGCTGCTGAAAAGACCATCCTTTGAGAGCATGTTATTTATGATATAAGTGTTTTGATATTGGCCCATTTTTCACATTCAATATATATGCTCAGGGGCATGTGCAATGGGCATGTTTTAGATATTTCAAGTTAATTAAATACATAATTCAGATTTGATCCAGAGTTCATTAGGGTCAGTGGAAAGACTTCAAACTTTGGATCGGGCTCATAGTTTTGCTCAGCAGCCAGACTTTTAGATGCTGAACAGAGAGACTCCGGCCGCTCTGAATTTCCCCCATTGCTACTCATGGGGTACCAGTTACAAGCCCTGCCCTACTCACCATTTAGCAGGGTCAGGAAGTTATGTTGTCTTCAGCAGTTTTTGCTTGTGGGAGTGTCCTGATCCCCTGTCAAATGTCACAGAGAGAAACTCGGCCTCTACCAGAGTGTGAATATCATTAACCCACAAGATGCTGCTACTCTCTTTAAATTGGAAGGCAACTATCCGGAGAGGTTCATGGTGCCACCTTGGGTGGCCTACCGTGACTTTCGCAACAAGCCATATGGAGTGCTTCTCAAGTAAGTAAGGGCTATAACCTCTTCTGACTGTCACTTCCGGCTATATAAAGAGAAACTCGGGGGGGGGGGGGAATGAATCTTGCAAAGGTAGAGTCAATGTAGAAGTTGGGTGAGAGTGGAGATCCCTTTTCTAATGACAAAGGTAACTGGGCTCACTTTTATGTTGTGATCTAGGAAGGGAGGAGATGTAGCATGATGTGAAAAGAGGAGCATTGTCATAGTGATGCCCTGAATTTGGAGCATCAGCTGGGGAGCGAAGTGGGTTGGGCACCTAATTCTTAGGAAACTGTCTGAGGCTCAGGTGGGTTAGGTAGGTTTACCGGTAGCAGAGAGACAGGTCTGGTCTCTTAACTTGAGTACATGCCAACCTGCCCGTCATGGAAAGCCTGCTTTATCCTAGCTTACACTCCCCATGCAACTTGCATCCCTGCTGCTAGGACCCGTGTGATTGTCAGGCCAGGACTCTGGCCTGGAACATGTTACTCAAGGTCTGCGAGGGAATTCACATGGGAACAGACCAGCAAGGGCATGGCAGCTGGACAGGAAGCAGTGGGTGCCACGCAGGGAAAATCACTCTGTGTTGCTTTGTGGGCGAGATGAGGAGGGTTGGAGTGATGGGTAGGGGCTAGGTGTAGGGTCGAGGAATGGGTGTATACTGTGCCCTGCCCTGAAAGGCTGGATATCTCAGGGAACACAGCGATGTGACTGATCTTCCTTTTATTTTTCCCAGGAAGGGGGAGGCCTGGCGCTCCGACCGCCTCGTTCTGAATAAAGAGGTCCTGTCTCTGAAGGTGATCGACTGCTTTGTGCCCCTGTTGAATGAGGTGGGTGAGGACTTTGTCAAGAGGGTGCGAGTCCAGATCGAGAAGAGTGGCCGGGGAAGGTGGACGGCCGACCTCACCAATGAGCTGTTCCGCTTCGCCCTGGAGTGTGAGTGGGCTGGGCTGACATGTTGCCGTTGCCTGTGGGGTTTCATTGGCTCAGTGGGGGCATCTGGGGGAAGCAGAGAAAAGCTACTGCTGAGTTCAGTTTGCACTAGTGCCTAAATCCAGCCACCCCAGACATGCCACTGATTCCTATGACTTTGCAAATGGCCTATCGTTAGAAGTGGTTGAACCACACGTATAAGGTCTGAATGCCCTTAGGAGGTGGAAAATCCATCCTTTCTGCTTAGGAAAATCTGTTTGGATGAGCACCCAAGTGACCTTCAGTGGAAGCTCTTAGCATGAAACAAACCCCATGGGTTAGAATCAGTAAGCGTCTAGCCTTATGCCTCTAGCCTTATGCCTCTTAATGCAATGCGAGGTTCCATAAGGATCATCCAGATGCTCTCTCGCTATCATGTCTGAATATCTTGTGGATGAAATATATATGACCACATCCGCAGCTGGTTTAAATCACCACAGCGCCACGGAGGTCAATGGAAATACATCAATTTACACCAGATGGCAGCTGAACTGTTTCTCTAGCTACTCATGGCACTTTCCCCAAGCATAGAGTTGATGGCTCCAGAGTTCTGACCAAATTTCAGCTGGAGTCATCCTGTCTCACCAGACTCTTCCTGCAGCCTGAGCTACAAAAAGGTGCTCTTTCTTTGTGTTCTGTACTGTTGTGCGGTGACTGCTGGCCCAGAAATACTACCATTGCACCCCAAAGGTGGCTGCATTTCAGCCCTGTGTATATGTTCGTGCTGGACTAGAGATGAGTAGAAATGGCCCGTCTCTGGCGGGAAGAACTTGGATAAGATGTTCTTATCGGGAAGATATTGGATAAGAGACACTATATATTACATGTGATAGAACTACATAAAAATACATTAAGATTGTAAAGCCAAGCTCTTGGAAGCTAGAAAACGCTAGATTTACGGTTGCCTGTGTACCCTTAATAGAGAGCATTACCCCAGCCCTGCATATAAACATACTGCATAATGAAGGTGCTTGTGGCCAATGGCCTCAAATCACCCCAGAGTCACATTTTGCGGAATGTTTGGGTACTAACCCTAACCCTTGCCCCTGCAGCCGTGTGCAACGTCCTGTATGGAGCACGCCTCGGGCTCCTGCAGGATTTCATTGACCCCGAGGCGCAGAAGTTCATCGATGCTGTGACCATGATGTTCCACACCACGTCACCCATGCTTTACATCCCGCCCAGCATGCTCTGCAGGATCAACTCTAAGACCTGGCGGGACCATGTGCAGGCCTGGGATGTGATTTTCAGGCATGGTGAGAGCTCATGTGCACTGCTGCATAGATCCCACCCAGCTTAGACTAAGGCTGCTGGCTAGAGCAGGGGCGTTATGCGGTAAGGCTGTTATGCGGAATGGCCTAGACTCAATATGATACTGCAACAGATGAGAAGTTGTGGGAACATCATGGAGGGAAAAGAATGGATTTACATAGAAAATAATTTTTGCTCATAGGAACAGGTGAGTCTGGCAAGATACTTGCTTCTTGCTATTCTGAGGGTTCTGATGTATTGCTAGGGTCTCTTAGATGGAAGGAAGCAGGGCTAGCTCTGCTGGAGAACTGGTGGAGTTTTCTATGGTGCAGAACGGCTAACTCAAATGACCTCAGCTGGGAAATTATAGGAAAGACACAAAGTGTCAGGAAAGTGCGGGATTCCCCATAGTGTCCTTGCGGACCAGATTCTAGCCAGAGCTGGCCAGTCTTGGAAAGCTAAATTATATCCCATGGAAAAGCTTCACAACTTTTTGCTGGGGACTGGTGAGATCCTTTGGCTTCAGAGATGCCATTAAAACAGCATTCCATGACAGCAGTTTAGCATATTCAGGATACTCAGGGGCCAGGGGCTCAGAGGTGAGTATGGTGGCATGGGGAGTGGGAGGAGGGATGGGCCCTCATAGCTATATTACTAGGTGCTGCATTTACTGCTTTCCTTTTTTCTCCCTATCTCCCTCCTCCTTTTCCCAGCTGACAAGTGCATACAGAACATCTACCGACAGCTTCGGCTGGACCGAGAAAATACCAAGGAATATACTGGCATCCTGTCCAGCCTCTTAGTACAGGACAAGCTACCCATCGATGACATCAAATCGAACGTGACAGAGATGATGGCAGGAGGGGTAGACACAGTAAGGATGAGCCTCGGGGATTGGGGAGAGTGCCATTGTTGTAGTGTCGATTGTGACCGTATCCCTTGGGGTGCAGCCTCAGACTGTGGAACCACTCTGCCCCCTTAACTCTCTGCAGCCTGGGCTCTCACTCACAATGCCTTGCTTGTGACCAGCAGCAACCCCTCCAGGTGCTGTTATAACTCAGCACAACCACATGTGCAGGCCCCACAGCAAGCTAGATTGCATTAATGCTTTCAGAGCCATTCATTAATCACACAGAGAAAGGCACCAGAGCTCAGCACTGTACCTCAGGAATATACAATCTTGCACTGCTCGACAATGGAAAGTGGATGTACACTAGCCTTTGTACCCACACTTCACACAAATTCACTTGTAAAGATAAGCAGTAAAATAAATTTCTTCATGATAAAAGATGGATTTTAAGTGATATTAAGTGACAGGCAAAAAGTTAGTTAGTTACCAAAAGAAATAAAATATAAGCATGCAGTTTAAACTCTCAACCCAATTAGACTGGGCAACATCTAGATTAAGCAGCTTTTCTCAACCCACTGGATAGTGCAGTCCTTAATATACAGGTCTGCTCCTTAAACCTGGGCCAATCTCCTGTCTTGGAGTCTTGTCTTCGCCATGCCTTGGGTTTTTCCAGGGTAGATTAGGGCAGGAGAAGGGCACAGTATGTGTCCACTCTCTTTTTTTTTTTTTTACCACCCTCAGTCCATGTGCCTGGAAAACACAAGTCTAGGCATGTCTGGGGGGGGGCATTGCTGAGTTTCCAGGCAAGTAGAGCAATTCCCCTGATGTGGCTTTATGCAGGTGAATCATTGCATTGTAGCTCTCTTGCTGGAGAACGGCGTTGTTTTTTTTCCTTGCTGTTGCCTCTGCGGGCCTAATATCTGGTTGATTCCCCAATTTACAGCATATTTTAGTAATAACCATACAGCACAATTCTTATAACCTCACATGCATTAATGATAAACATATATGGTTAGAGAAATGACTTTCCCTCTTGTGTTACAAGGCAAACTTTATATATAATATCATAATTATATACAGATGAGGAATTTGAAGGGTTAAAGGGTGCTCTCTCTCTCTGTAGAACGTGCCAGCGATATTACAATATCTCTGGTAATTGCTGTGTACTAGAAGGATTAGGAGAGAGCATTCATTATCAGCTTGGACCTGGCGTTTCACTACTGACCAATGATGGAACCTCAACATAGTTCCCTGTTTCCATATCCTGGCTTTCCCACACTGGCTTTCCCACACTGCTCCTCAAAGGAGGATGCTCCTGGTGAGGTACACAAGGCAAAGAATGGCTAACGTTGAGAGTTTAGAATTGGAGTTCTGGCACCTGGGTGCCTCAATCCCATAGGCTCTTCTAAAAGTCCCGGCCCATAACATTTCAGAAATATAGCGGGGGGGGGGGTCTTCTCTGAGCAGTACAAGGTGCTTCATTAAAGCCACACAACCTTGTCAAGAAGAGAAACTGAGGCACAGAGAGGTGATGTGGTATGCATGGTTCACCCGTAGAGCAACATACCTAGGGTCAGAACATATCTGGTGTTGAGTTCTAGGATGTTCCCCTGTGCCCTGCTTCAGACCCCCATGACCATCCTCTGTGCCCTCCTCTAGACCTCCATCACCCTCCAGTGGGCCATGTTCGAACTGGCTCGCACTCCAGTAGTGCAGGACCAGCTGCGGGCGGAGATCTTTGCAGCCAGACAGGCAGCACAGGGCGATATGCTGAAGATGTTGAAAGCCGTGCGGCTGCTCAAAGCTGCCATCAAGGAAACACTCAGGTAAGGAGTTTTTCTTTCAAAGACCGTGTAATCAGTTCCTAACCCCCACCACTTTCGACCCAGATATGGGTGCACAGATGACTGCCTTCTCTCTATGGGAATTCAGCCTGGTATCTAGGTACTGATACAGCCCCCAGCACTACAGAATCTGAGCTCTGGAGGTGGAGTTTTTTTACCATTGAAGAAAAATGAGTGTCTCCCTTGAATGGCTGATCCTCTTAGAACAGCCGTTCTCAAATTTCATTGCACCGTGACCCCCTTCTGAAAACAAAAATTACTACACGACCCCACAATTGGTGACTGAAGACTGGGCTGGGTCAGGTGGGGCCAAAGCTGAAGCCCAAGGGATTCTGTCTTGGGTGGGTGGGCATGTAACTTTAGCCCTGGACAGTGGGACTCGGGCTTCAGTTTCAGCCCTGGTGGTGGGGCATGGGCTTGGGCCCTGGGACCCAGTAATTCTAACACCAGCCTTGGTGACGCCATTAAAATGGGGGTCACAATCCACTTGGGGTTCCGGGCCCACAGTTTGGGAACCCCTGTATTACACGATAACTGCTCACTACCTACTCACCTATAGAACTATCACTTTAGTTCTAGCGGCGGGTCCTGTGATTTTGATGCTGGAGTCTCTGATTCTCTCCCAGCATAGTGGGTTTGCTGCAGTCCATCTAATACACTTTTTCATCAGTGCAGCATTTATGGCTTAGCAAGAATGGAAACATTTTTGAGGGAAACTGATGCAAAGGGTAATAAATTTACTTCCTTAAAGGACAATTAACAGCACCACAGAGCACAGTACTGTTGTCCTTCCAAAACAATAAGTTCACAGCATTGGAAGATTCCTCCATCCCACCTCCAGTGGGTTCACCATAACGTTTTTATTTTGCTTTTCCATGACAATTTCTCAGAGCTTCAAGGAAACAGGAGACGAGAACAAATATGAAGTCATTGCTAACTCTTGGCCACTGCTACACTGAACAGTGCCTTTGCAAACTGACAAAAAGCCCATGCTGCAAAGTGTCATGTGCTCCTTGTACAAGAGGGATTGCAGGGATGCTACTGGCAGGTCAGACTTCTGTACCAGAATTTGGCTGGCTACAGAGATCCAAGATATGTGTTCTTTTTAAGATACCTTAGAACACGGCTAGGTATGCTGTTACTATCTCTGATAAGGGATGTTATGCACTGTGCCACTTAGCAGTTGAAAATTATAATACAGTTTTAGCATAGAACTAGACACTCAGTCGTAGGACTGGAAGCGACCTTGAGAGTTTATATGGTCCAGTCCCCTGCACTCTTCCCATAAGATACCATGAGTAAGGATATCACTAAACTGGTTCTCTCTGTGTGTGAGCAGCTTTCTTGACTCCTCCATGACCGACTCTGCCCTTGCATAGGAGACGCATGGCACATCTGCTGCTTTGCCAATCTATGCCTGTGGATCGAAGGGAGGGGGCAGTCTGTTCATCTCTTTTTGCAAGCTTTCCTACTACTTCCTCATATTTCAGAATCTTTAATACCAGGCACTCAAGAAACTTGAAAAAATAGCACCAATGATTATTGAGTCCAACATTGACAACCCCAGGAAATCAGGTGAATTATTTTGTCTGTCTAATATTGGCCTCATTTATCTCCCATGATAGATAGGTAGCACAAAGACGGGGATTCATAATAAATATCATAAATTTGCAGAGATGCGCTCGAGTTCTGGGCACGTTATGTGCAAACACAAAGCCAAGTAAACCTTGGAGAGCTTTGGAAGAAAACCTTCAGGACTGCCGATTGCTGCCATAATAACAGTGAGTTCCCATCTGCCACGGACACCAGATCTAACCCTGGGAAATGGCAGACTAAACTAATAAAGCCCTGTACGTGCAGCATCAAAGCTAGCCAAAAATTGCAGTGCTTGCTTCAAAAGAGTCAATTTAAAAGTCTGGGAGTCCAGCTCTGCAGGCAGCACAATGAGAGAAGGGAAACCTGTCCAAAAAGAATGCTCATCTGGGCCAACACATCTACAACTATTCTGGGACTTTGACTCCCTCCCATTTCAGACACGAAATTGCTTGTGCCAGGAAGGGTGCTGGGCTGCTAGATGGGCATTAATTAAACAGCCAGATCTTCAGCTGTGGCAAATCAACATCAGTCCGTTACTTAATGGGAGTTATTTAGATTTACCCCAGGTGAAGATCGGGCCCCAAGATTTTGCTCCTCTCTCCTGGTGGCCAGGAGGACATTAAACAGCTTATAGCAAAACCAGAAAGACAATAGGGAAGAGCTCTGGTTTCATGGCAATCATCTCCACTCTCAATGAAACAGCTTCTCATTCCCAAGGCTACATGAGATATTGCTGTGCCCATAATGGCTCCTAGATTAGCAGAGATGATCTTGGGGCAGAGACGGTTTTTTTAAATTCTTTCTACAGCACCTTTACAGTGAGTAGACCATGCCCATGTTAAATGCTTTGGGCCTGATTTTGATCATTTACACCAGTTGACTTGCATAGACAGACTATCAAGTGACTCCTGATTTAATCTCAGGACCAAAATTGGTCCCATTGAGGATATCAGAAAATGTATTTAGACTCTTAAACTGGCATTGTGGATACAGTCAAATGGAGATATTGACAAACATAAGGTTAGAGGAGAATAGGTCAAATGATGGGAGAAGTGATAAGAATACACCTAAATTCTTAAAGTACAGGCCTTTGCAGACAGGCCTGAATATCTATATCCTCACACTCCACCCCTTTTTTTTCTTTTTCTTTTGGGATCCTCCTGCCCAGGTAACCCTGGAAAAGCATAGGACATATGGTGACATATTTCCTGATAGGGCCAGGCATCAAGGTGGAAGGTGTCGATGCTCCATCTGTCCCACTGTCCCTTGTGTAGTACCGTGCCCTGCACCTTCTCTAGTACGGGCATACTACACCTATTCCAATTAGTGTTCCAGACTTCCCAGTATAGTGGGCCCGAGAAGGTTGGGTCCGGGTTGTCTAGTACACTTTGGGGGGGGGGGGTTACTACATTACTTATAGGTTATAATTAGTGGCTGTTCTCTAGGGGGTTGTGCCCCCTTGATCATTTCCATATGCAATGTGTAACACACATATAGTTAACAATACACCAGCTGCTATGATAATCCACAGCAACACTGAGAGTCCTGACCACTGCAGTGTGGTCCAACATCCTGGCCACCACCAAAAACACTGCTTCTCCTCCTTTGATAAGGTTAAAATTTTGTCAGCACCATCCTGTAGTGTGTATTGTAAGTGTGTCCAACTGTTGGGGCTTGCAGCAAGTTGCTCTTGTAATCTTTGTGTACTTTTGTCCATATTGTGTGTCTATTGAATATCCACAGTGAAATTTGGTATTGTCCAAACCAATTCAACTACTTGGTACGGTATGGGGTAGTAGGTGCTGGTTCGATTGTTTACAACGATTAGGTCCACTGATCCATTGGTGCACCATAGTCCAGGTGGCAGTGTATAGAAGTTCATAATTTTGTCATACACTGGAAGGATTTTGCCTTCTAGTGTTATATTGCAGGATTGCATACATTCCCAACAGAATACACCGTACCCCATATACATTACCCCTAAATGCCCCCCCTTTGCAATAGGCCATTGATCCTGCTCCTCCATAGTCATAGGAGAGGAGCGTATCCATATTCCTCCTCTGGATATACAACTGCTTAATGTGATGACAGTCCAATTTACCCCCATTCCATCCCCCCACACACTTATTACCTAGTGGCTCCCAATGTGCTCCCCTTTCCCTACTTACTCCCATTGGGTTCAAGGGAACCATCTTATTTGCATTTCCTTCCCATGGTATCATAGTAACAATTACACAAGAACTGTCCCCACAGGTCGGGGATGTTATTTTCCAGGTAGATGGGTATGTTTTTGCAATTGTGGATAAATATGGGCTAGCCTCCCGATTTAATACTGAAGGCCATTGTTCTGACCAAGCATCTCTCATAATATCCATTAACATTATAACTGAGCATTTTGAATACCTACGCACACTTCTCTCCATGTTAGTCTTCTGAAGCCATCCTCTACCCATGTCACCAGGTCCCCTGCCCAATGAGTTAACTGCAAGTTTACCTCTACTGCTGTCCTCCACCCTGTGGCAACTGCTGATAGTTGCTGTGCCATTAATTCATTAATTTGTTGATATTGACAAACATGAGGTTAGAGGAGAATAGGTCAAATGATGGGAGAACTGGCATGTAAGACCCAGGGAGAAAGCTTGAGAGGATTGGAGAACTATATCACAGCGATGCATGGTGGCTGTATGCATGGGGTAGCATCGAAACAGTGATCATGCAATTACAAGGACAGGGCAACACAGCTGGGACAGTTTAGGCTAAATATTAGGGGTAGTGTTATCAGACCAGTTTGGTGATAGCACAAATTGTGACTGGAACAACTTACCATGGAGTGATTCAAGACTAGACCTTACCCCCATCTGGCAGGATTGGCTTTAGGCATCATGTGGCTTATTTACACTGGGAATTTTCCCCAGTTCCAGCAGTAACAGTTCAGCCACCAGTGTTTGGATTGGTGGATCCTGCTGGAAACCAGAGTCAATCCTTCTACAATTCAAGGAAATAGGCTAGATGATTTGCTAGCTCTCCAAGCCTATTGAAGCAATACGCTGGTTTGATCAGCTACACAGACAGTAAGTTGTGCAGAATGGAAACTGTCTTAAGAAATGTGACAGGGCCATAGCTGGGCTCTCACCAAACCGCTATTGTGTTCCCAGGCAGGTGCACAAAGCAAAAGGGATTTTTGTCTGTCAGTCCTTTCAGGTAGGGTCCCAACCACAGCAGCAACAGGCAAGTCACATGGAGTACATCCCCTGTCAAGCTGACCTTCCCCGCCTCTGGAGCTTCTGGCCCCAAGTCAGACTTTCCTCGTAGAGCAAGGGCTGTGAAGCTGCTCTCCGTCCCAGCTGGGCTCTCCTCTTTTATCTTCTCCTGACACTAGGGCTGTTGACTAATTGCACTTAACTCATATGTTTAACTAAAAAAAATTAATTGTGATTAATTGTCGTTTTAATCATTCTTTAAACAATAGAATACCAATTAAAATGTATTAAATATTTGTGGACATTTTTCTACATTTTCAAATATATTGATTTCAGTTACAACACAGAATACAAAGTGTACAGTGCTCACTTTATTTATTATTTTTATTATAAATATTTGCAGTGTAAAAATGATAAACAAAAGAAATTATATTTTTCAGTTGTAGTGTAGTGCAATCTCTTTATCAGGAAAGTGAAACTTAGAAAGATAGATTTTTTTTTGTTACACAACTGCACTCAAAAACAAAACAATGTAAAACTTTACATCCTAAAAGTCCACTCAGTCCTACTTCTTTTTCAGCCAATCGCTAAGACAAACAAGTTTGTTTACATTTAAGGGAGATAATACTGCCCCCTTCTTACTGACTATGTCACCTGAAAGTAGCCAGCATTGCAAGGTATTTACATGCCTGATATGCTAAACATTTGTATGCTTCAGCCACCATTCCAGAGGACATGCTTCCATAGAATCATAGAATCATAGAATATCAGGGTTGGAAGGGACCCCAGAAGGTCATCTAGTCCAACCCCCTGCTTGAAGCAGGACCAATCCATGCTGATGATGCTCGTTAAAAAAAATAATACATTCATTAAATTTGTGACTGAACTCTTTAGGGGAGAATTGTATGTCTCCTGCTCTGTTTTACCCACATTCTGCCATATATTTCATGTTATAGCAGTCTCGGATGAGATCCCAGCACATATTGTTCTTTTTAAGAACACTTTAACTGCAGATCTGACAAAACAAAACGAATGTAACAATGTGAGATTTCTAAAACCAGTGTCTCCCAAAATCTGAGAGGGACAAGGTGTGGTGAATGCTTTCAGAAGTCTTTAAAGGGCAACACTCCGAGACGGAAACTACAGAACCCAAACCACCAAAAAAGAAAATCAACCTTCTGCTGGTGGCATCTGACTCAGATGATGAAAATGAACATGTGTCGTCTGCACTGTTTTGGATCGTTATTGAGCAGAACCCACCATCAGCATGGATGCATGGCCTCTGGAATGATGAAGGGACTTATGAATCTTTAGTGCATCTGGCATCTGGCTACAACAGTGACACATGAACATCTGTTCTCACTTTCAGGTGACATTGTAAACAAGAAGTGAGCGGTATTGTCTCCCACAAATATAACAAACGTTTATCTGAGCCAGTGGTTCTCAACCTTTCCAGACTACTGTATCCCTTTCAGCAGTCTGAGTTGTCTTTCACCTCACTTTAGAACTACTTGCTTACAAAATCAGACACAAACATACAAAAGTGTCAGAGCACACTATTACTGAAAATTGCTTACTTTCTAATTTTTACCATATAATTATAAATCAATTGGAATATAAACATGCTACTTTCATTTCAGTGTATAGTATATACAGCACTACAAGTCATTGTCTATATGAAATTTTAGTTTGTACTGACTTCACCAGTGTTTTTTATTTAGCCTGTTGTAAAATTAGGCAAATACCTAGATGAGTTGATGTACCCCCGAAAGGCCTCTGAATACCTTCCGGGGTACATGTACCCCTGCTTGAGACCCACTGGTCTGAATTATTGGCTGAACAAGAAGTAGGACTGAGTGGACTTGTAAGCACTAAAGTTTTACATTGTTTTATTTTTGAATGCACTTTTTTTGTACATTGTTCTACATTTGCAAGTTCAACTTTCATGATAAAGAGATTGCACTAGAGTACTTGTGATGGGGAAATTGAAAAATACTGTTTCTTTTGGTTTTTACAGTGCAAATATTTCTAATAAAAATAAATATAAAGTGAACACAGTACACTTAGTATTCTGCCTTGTAACTGAAATCCATATATTTGAAAATATAGGAAACATTAAAAAATTAAAACATTAAAAAATTAAATGGTATTCTATTATTGTTTAACAGTGTGATAAATCGTGCGATTAACCGTGATTAATTTTTTAATTGCGCGATTAATCGCAATTAATTTTTTTAATCACTTGACAGCCCTATCTGACACCTATTGCAGGTGTAGCAGGTCAGGGCTGATTAAGCCCACTGCAGCTTGTTAACCCTTTCCTGGACAGCAGAGGATTTGTGTACTCTGTCACAAGCAACAGCTTGATGTTCTGGTTTAACAGAGGTAGGTCCTCTAGCAAAGCTGGAGCAGAATGGCATGGGGAGTCTTTGGGCTGAGCTCTTATTTCTAAGGCAGATGACTGGTCTCATGCACAGCCCTGATTATATAGTCTGCCCACTGGGACAATATTGGCTGTAAATGAGTGATGAGTAAATCCTACCCTGATGCGCCCTCCTCCTGCAGGCTCCATCCGGTGGCAGTGACCATACAGAGATACACAACACAGGAGATTATCCTCCAAGACTATTTCATCCCCGCCAAGGTGAGTTTCCTGCCATGGCAGGGCCAGATGAAAGGAGGGGAATAGGCAGCTGTGGAATTTTGGTTTTGTCTTCACTAGATTTTGCCTTAACATTTCCCACTGTTGCTGTTTTTGGTGCCTCTCCAATGGTGGTGGCCAGCATGGGAGAACAGCTATAGGCTGCCCCGGCCATTTTAAATGTTTTGTCAGCCAGTTCTAGTGCAGAATACCCTTGACTTGTAGCAAAGACTGCATTCACAGTCAAGGGAAGATTGTGGATAAGCATTGTTTAAAAACTTTCTTATGGCCAAAAGGATTGTACCAGGCTTGGGCTACTCAGTGAGGTCAGGGCTGGAGCACACTAGCATGGTGTTTAAAGAAAAGATCGACCATGAATCTGCACCGAGCCCAAAGCACAAGGGCCGGGCCCATCCAAATTGGGTGGCCAAGGCATGTTAGAGGGATGGGAATCTAGGCTGAACTTTAGACACAGCACAGAACTCACGGGAAACGGGATGGAACTTTAAACTACCTTTGCGCCTGCCTGATCCTGGGTTGCTCTGGGAGCTGGCGTGTCCCCTGGCCCACAGAACACTGAGCTGCCCGGAATCTCTGCTGTACCTGAGCCCCACACATTTCCTTCAGAAGGCAGCCTTCCACCACACCTGCCTGCACTGTGGGAATCCTTCCACAGCTGGATATGGGACCCCCCTTCTGCTATTCCCTCTTCCCTTTTACCCAGCGAAAAGGGGTGGGGGAGGGAACTCCCCTAGTGAGGTTAAGCTGTGCACAGATATGGAGCTTACACTCGGTTATAAGAGCACTTTAAATTGGCCCAAAGAAAATGGGGGAACTAAGGGTGTGGCTCACTGGAGCAGACACAGGCTCGGAAACCATTGCCAGTTACAGAGTGAACAGCTCACAGCCTCTTTGTGTAGCACATACAGCACCGCTCTCCCTATGGAGCACACCGTTAAAGTCAGCATCACACACCCCGAGGAAGGGCTGCCCACAAGGCCCTGTGTGTGGATGTCTGCTTGTGGTGGCACAGTTGCCCAGAATCACCCTTGGTGTAAGGGCAGATGCTGTTCCCTCACATTGTGACTGCAATGTCACTCCCCTGTCGTGAGCGAAGTCTGGCACAGCCCCCGTGATGGATGCCATCTGGGAGAGCTGCTAGCAGTCCACTCACCCTCCCTCCTCTCTCCCTTGCAGACACTAGTGCAGGTTGGAATTTATGCTATGGGCCGTGATCCCAAGTTCTTCACCAAGCCAGAGCTGTTCGACCCAGCGAGATGGCTGAAAATGGACTCTACATACTTCAGGGCGCTGGGCTTTGGTTTTGGGCCACGCCAGTGCCTCGGTCGCAGGATTGCCGAGCTGGAGATGCAGCTCTTCCTGATCCATGTGAGTCTGACACCTTCCTCCTTTGGCAAAGCCACAGAATTTGCAAAGCCTCTTTATCGCTGAGGCACCTTCGCGGCGATGTAGGAGAAGGGCCGTGGGCAACTATACAGAGAACCAGGGCAACCTAAGGCTCTGTTGGGAAAGAGAGAAACAGAGGTCTAGGCACTCAGCTGTCTGCATGGCTTGCACAAGTGGAATGAGCATTGCATGGTAGATAGGTCACGCAGCTAAGGCTGAAAATTACAGTTCAGGTGCATGTGCCTGCAAGCTCCCTGCAATCCCCTTTCTTCCCCCATACTGGGATCTGAAGGTATGTCTACACTGAACACTAAGCTAGGATCTGACTTAGGGTTGAGCCCAAGCCCCCCAACCCCCTCTTCCATCCACACACAAATCAGTCTGACTCAATAAGCAATCGGGACCCAAATCTTAGGACACTGCTATGTGGGTGGGGCTGAACACGAATCCTGCTCAAATCCGGTCCTGTTGCAGTGTAGACAGAGCTCAAGCCGACCCGAGTCAGACAGTCTGTGTAGCAAAGTATAGACATGTTAGCATGGCTGTGAGACCCGGTTCCAGCAATTGTAAACCCAGGTTTACAATGCAGTGTGGCTGCTCAAGCATGGGCTTAGCAGCACCGAGCTCACAAACTCAAATCCCACAGACCCTAGTTTATAATGCAGTGTAGCCATACCCTGAGAGTCCTGCTAGAAGTGTGCAAAAAATTAGCAACAAATATGCAAAACCACTCCAATTCGGGGGGGGGGGCAAGGTGTCTTTCTTTGCACTGGAAGCAGCATGGTCCAGCAGATAGCGCACTGGTTTCAGAGTCCTGGTGTCTAGGCCCAGCTTTGTCAGTGCTTATGGATATTCACCTCATCTCTCTGGCCCAGAACCACAAAGGTGCCTGAATACCTTTGAGGTTCTGGGCCTCTATGTCTTAAGTTTCCCGAACTGTAAAATGGGGCTAATAATAGTTGCCTTCCTTTATAAAGTGCTTTCATGTCTGCAGCTAATGAACATATTGCAAGGGAGGCTGAGCTGGTGGGTTGGGTGCTACCCTGGGGCTCCACAGATCCAGGCTTAATTCTCTGCCCTGGCACAGGAAGCCTGTATGATCTTGGGTAAGTCACTTAGCCATGCTGTGCCTCAGGTTCTGCAGCTGTACAGTGGGGATAATAACAGTGCCCTGACTCCCAGGGGTGTGTGAGAATAAACTCATTAAAGAATTTGAGATGCCCACATACATCGGTAATGGGGGCTACATAAGGAGCTTAGAGCTTGGCTATACTCCTGCTTAAGTCAATGACATAACTTACAGTGGTGTCTACACTGCCTACACTGTCTACACAGAGCATCTCCTGCAGACATAGCTTCCACCTCTTATTGAGGTGGAGGAATTATGTCAATGGGCGAGCACTCTCCTATTGACATAATGCATCTGTGAAGACAACTGTAAATTAAAAATGGTAAAAAGGTAATTGTAATAATTTTTCATGATACATTTAAAAACGATCCACCAAAAAACTACCTAAGATCATGAATTTTCTTCTGGCTGTTAAGCCCATTTCTCCAGTGAAAGGTGGCTTCACAATGCAGGCTTCCCAAGCCATATGGTTTGTTCTATGGCAGATCACAGAGAACTTTTGCCAGTTTTCTTGAATTTCATGAAAAAACCAAAACTAGAGAGGTACAAAATCCTCCCCAAATAAGCAACATTTTTGGGTGTGTACATCATCTCCTGCATGCACGGATGGAGAGCAAACACCATTTAGTGCAATGAATACAAGAACATTTAATGGATGTCTAGCCCCGAAGTCAACAGCACTTCCCTCAGCCAAAGACTAGGGATAAAGTCATTTCAACCTTGCTCCACAGTGGAGCTGCCAACACTCCTTTCTCATCCTCTGGTTATCAGGGTCAGTCACCTAAGGCCCCACTGAACATCAGTCCTGCAAATTTCCTGAACTGGGGTAGTCAACCCTGGATCTTCCAGAGGGCGATAGTGGCATGTGGCAAGAAATTATTGTGCCACAGGTTGAAAAACTGGCTCTTAGTGACTGGAGACTGATGTTGCATCAGATTGCGGCGACAGTGCAATGAGACCTTCTCTTTCATTTCCCACATTGGCTGGAATCAAGATGATTTTGCATCTCTGACAGATTATCATTGTCTCCTTTATTCTATTTCCCAGATGCTGGAGAACTTCAAGATAGAAACCAAGAGAGGAGTGGACATTGGTACCCAGTTTGACCTCATCCTGATCCCAGACAAACCAATATACCTTACGTTACGGGCCCTGGACTCCCAGCCATGAATGGAACAGAAGCTACCACTCCCCACTGATTCTGTGACAAGGCTGGGTGATGGAACCAATGTCAACCCATCTTGAGCCAGCTGAAGAGCTGTCACCTCTGTTTGGGACAATCTGGGTACATATGATTTATGTCCTTGTGGAACTTTGTCTCTAGACATAAAAATTAGACCCTAGTAAGAAGAAAAGAATGGGAGCTAGGGGTTGGGTGTGATGGTATTCTCCGGGGTGCAACCTGAAACTTGGGTACGACTGAGCCCTCTGGCCTATCAGCCTGGGCTCCCTCGCACATTGTGATGTCATGACAAGATGCAAACCTCTGGTAGGTACTGCACTTACACAGACATCCACAAGCAGGGACACACCCAGCTGAGTTACATGAATGCTTCTCTCAGCCACTCATGGACTAATACATTTATTAGAGCATAAGCTTTCGTGAGCTACAGCTCACTTCATCGGATGCAACATGAAAGCTTATGCTTAAATAAATTTGTTAGTCTCCAAGGGTGCCACAAGTACTCCTTTTCTTTTTGCGAATACAGAGTAACACGGCTGCTACTCTGAAACCTGTCATGAACTAATAGAGAGGCTCCAGCCAGTCTGACCAGTGTAAATTTATTACCTGATCCACCGCTCCCTCAATGTGGAGAGGCCATAACACAAGCCTTTGTAACTGAGGTGAGATTGCCCAAGCTCTTCAAGCAAACTACACTGTTTTAAGTAAAGTGTCACACAGATTTATTAGCTACAGAAAGATAGATTTTAAGTGGTAGGCATAAAGATCAGAGAACATTGTCAAAGAAAATAAAAGATTAAATGCACAATGTAAAGCTTAGCCCTTATTACACCAGGCAGTATCAGATCAGTGATTTTCCCACCCCACTGGATGTTACAGTTCTTAATATACAGGCTTCTCATTAAGTCTGGACCAGTGTCCCCAGATGACCATCATCTTCTTGGTGTGCCTGCTGCTTCCAGCGTACATGTGGAAGGAGAAAGGCCAAGATACGCTGCAACTCTTCCTTATTTTATACCCTCAGTCCATGTGATACTTGCCCAGATATGTCCCGGTGAGCTTTGCTAAATCACAGTGATAGAGTAAACCCCCATTGTGTGCACTTGGGTGACTGTCATTTGACTGTAAATCCCTTGAGTACAGCACCCCTGCTGATTAATGGTCATGGAGCACCATCCTGGGCGTGTGTCCTTTGTATATCACCTGCAAATTTACAGCATATTTCAGTAACAACCATACAGCAAAAATCTCATAACTTTATACATACTAATGCTATACATATTTGGACAGAACGGGTTTTAGCAGAGCATGACTTTTCATATACCTTACATGGCATACTTTGTATGAAATATCACAATTGCATGACAGTGATGAATATGGGGGTTTCAGGGTGCTATTTTGAGGTTATAGTGTGTCACAGTGGGGTGGGAGCTCCAGGACCCTAACCCAGGGTTTGTCTGTCACCGCCTTTGCTGCTGACCAATGCAATAGTCACTGGAAGAGACAATCTGGCTAGGCAGCTGAAGGGTGCTAACTGAAGTCTCCAGCCTGGAAAAAAAGTGTGCCTTTGTGATCAAATTCCTCCAGTATTCAAGGCAAAGTAGAGACTGTCCACAGGGCAAGATGAATGTTCATGCAAGTCCCCTGGCCTGTAGACCCCTGCAACATAGCCCCAAACCTCAGGCAGGGAAGTGGCAAAAGGATCCAGACGTTTCAAGCGTGTTAGCAGAGTTAGTCAAGGTCACCTTGACTGTCAGCACAGCCAATGCTCCCCTCTCAAGTGCACTGGAATGGGAAGATGCCCATCAGCTTTCAACCACCCATGTCATAGCCTTTGAGCAATTTTCCATAGGCACCACTGCTTTACCCTTTTCTCACCATTGTTTGCCAGTACACTGTCTAGCTGGGAGAAATATAATGGTTTGTCTTTGAATAGCACCCATCAGCTGAAGGTATGTTGACACTGATGGTGTAGTTGCCGACTTGGGTAGAGTTACCCAAGTGACACGGATTCACAGGTCTCGTGCTCTCTCCTGGCTCTGTACAGTACCTGGGAGGAACCCACTTCAGTATGACAGCCCTTCCCAGGGGTGGGGTCCACTATCTTGGGTTAAGCTATAGGCCCCTCCGCCTCCACCTCTCTGACCCTCAGTATGCCTGTCTCTCAACGTGGGCCCCCTCAGGGAGTCCCTCGTTCTGGACCCCCTCGGGGCCTCCACTTCCAGAGAGAATAATGCAGTCCTGATCTCTGGACTGGAGTGATTCTCAGACAGCATAAAACAGAAGTTTATTGAGCAGATGAACCAAGCACAGGAAATTCTCCTGCCCCTCAAGCCTAGCATCCCGCAGCGCAGTATATCTAAGTCTGTCCCACATCCAAGTGGGCTCTGGCTGCTCTCTCTCTGTCCAATCCAGCAGCCCCTCATTCCAGCCGATCATCCAATATCATCTCCCCCAACATCTCCTCCCATCTACTTTTTCTTCCATTCCAGGTAAACAGGTCACTGGGGCCCTCTCTCTTCCGTTCTTTGTTCTTTTCTGGCTGGAACTGGTTGGTCAGGACACCGGGATCCTCTCCTTTCAGCCCCTTGTACTCCCACAGGCCAGAACTGGCTGACTGCCAAGCTGGGGTGGGACTCTTAGTCACCAGGTCACCACTTGTTAGCGTACTCCATCTCCAGGCCATTCTCCAGCGTTCCCAGCTGCTAGGTGAGGTCACACCTGGTCCTCTGCAACAACAAACCCTCTCTCAACAATGTGCTAAACACACAGCACACAGGGAAACTGAGACACACACACACACACACACACAATTCATGTAAAACACTACCAAAATCCCCAACTTTGTCACATCTCTCCTGCACTTCGAGTCTGAAGTGAGTTGGGTCACTCCAGCCAGTGAGCTGTGGAAGTTCAGGCCCCCCTCTCCAGGACAAAGCATCAGCTATAACATTCATGCTCCACCCCATATGATCATCCTGGTGGATCCTGGTGGATCATCCTGGTGGATCAGAGTCCACCTTAGGAGTTTGGCATTAGCCCTTTATCCGTTGACCATGGCAGGGTGGGTGGTCAGTGTACACCATAAAGCACCACCCAAATAGATGGAGCTGCAGCTTTTTAAGAGCCCATCCCAGGGCCAGGCATTTCCCAGGGCAACAAAAATGATTAGGGGTCTGGAACACATGAGTTATGAGGAGAGGCTGAGGGAGCTGGGATTGTTTAGCCTGCGGAAGAGAAGAATGAGGGGGGATTTGATAGCTGCTTTCAACTACCTGAAAGGGGGGGTTCCAAAGAGGATGGCTCTAGACTGTTCTCAATGGTAGCAGATGACAGAACGAGGAGTAATGGTCTCAAGTTGTAGTGGGGGAGGTTTAGATTGGATATTAGGAAAAACTTTTTCACTAAGAGGGTGGTGAAACACTGGAATGCGTTACCTAGGGAGGTGGTAGAATCTCCTTCCTTAGAGGTTTTTAAGGTCAGGCTTGACAAAGCCCTGGCTGGGATGATTTAACTGGGAATTGGTCCTGCTTCGAGCAGGGGGTTGGACTAGATGACCTTCTGGGGTCCCTTCCAACCCTGATATTCTATGATTCTATGATTCTTCTCTAGGGAGGAGGAGCAGCTTCTTGCTCAGGTCCACAATGGGGGCTTTCTCCCGCTTCGTAGTGGCCTGTATCAGCACTGCACCCAGCCTTCTGTCTGAGGCCTGTAGAGAACACCCTGAAGGATTTGTCCAGATCTGGGTTTATCAGCACCAGCCCCTGGATTCGAGCCTCCTTCAGCGCACACAGTGCC